CGACGGCTTGAGGAGCGCTCGGTTGCATCGTTTCTATACGCAAAGGTATTTTGTGTCGGTTGCCGCCCACGGCTTGGTGTTACCTGCGGCGGCGGGCGTCGCCCAGCATTGGGTGACTGCAACGCCGGGCGTCGGCTTTCGACGATATTTCGATCGACTCGTGCCTCACGAATTTAAGTTTTTGGGAGAAACTGTTCCCATGCCGTGTACTTTTGGACTCCTGCGCCAAATAATTTCTTCGTCTCATTTGGTTTTGTTACTGATGACACACCCTAGTGATCAGGCTTGCATCTGCCCTTAGTCGATATTGCCGACCCTGTCAGGGATGCTTTAGCATGCTTTTCATGAAGCTTCTGTACGAACAAGTAAGTTCTTCTCCTGCCAAGCGTACGCTTCCCAGTAGCACTCCCTTCTGTCATGCATTTGTACTAATTAAAGAAATTGCGTGCTGATAATAAATATTTGATAGCTCCTATCCTGTGTCATCCTCATCTCTCGGCCGACCTACATCATGCGTGCACGACATCATTGATGTAACCCGAACCACGTTCGTGTAATGAACTCACGCATTTGAGCACGAAATCTACTGCCGAATCGGACCATAAACTGGCTTCATGACTGGGAGGTCGTAGGTTCGAGTCTTGGCTGGCCCGGGGTTTTTCTACCAGTTCTGGCGACATAGCGTGGATATCCTCCAGACGGGGGGAGGTGCAAGCCAGACCAGGGGCCTTGGTAGCAAATGGGAGTTGGGGAGGGGGGGGGGGCATGTGGTCTAAATCATGTTATGAGGGAAAACGACTGTTAATGTAAAAGGTGGGTCCTATTAGTGGCGTAGCCAAGATTTCGGGCGGCTAACACTATATAACCAGTGGGGCGTTCGGCCCCCGTGCCTCGGAGACTCATTCCAAGCCAAGCCCCATCACCCCATTGCCCCACTGCCCTGGGCCCATTGCCCTGGTCCCATCGCCCTCGGCTGCGGGTCTGATCACTCCTCTATGAAATTTCAGTTGTTTTTTTCTCTTTTTTTTTGCTGGGCAAGTGGATATATGGGCCCCGCAACAGCGTAAGACCTCTGAGCAACGTAATGAACCCCCAAATTTTCCCAAATCACCACCCTCTCGAAGAGCGAGGAAACCCTTTTGTCTGCTCATGGGCTCTTCACTTTCGCTTGCAACTGCTCTAGGTCATCTGTAGGCCAAAATACCCCCCATTTTGTTTGTTTGTTAGAAAACTGCTTCCGTTCTTCCGGTTATGCGCCCCTTCGCCGCCTTTGAGTCCCCTCGGAGCACGAAGGGGGGGGGGAGGCGTGGTCCCGTGCCCCTTCTTTGTATCCGCTACCAACTCTAGTAGCTTAATAGATGGGGCCCCACGAAGAACATAGGGCCACTCAGATTCACTCAGATAAGAAGTACCAAAGACATAAATATGGAGGGCCCCGAAATAATCAAGTGTGCCCGAGCGAGTTAACAGAAGGAAGGGGTGCCGACCAGAGCGTAGGACCCTCCATTCAAATAAGAAGTACCAAGGACCCAGTGCGGATGGCCCCCGAAAGATGGAGTGAACCTGAGTACGTTATCAGGTGACCCTCGACAGGAGTTTAGGGCCCTATCTTCAAATACCAAAACCCAATGTGCAGGGCCCCCGAACAATCCAGTGTGGCCCAGGAGGCGAGCATGGGGCCCGACAAGAGGAGGCGAGCATGGGGCCCCCGACGGGAGGGGGCGAGCACGGGGGCCCCCGACAGGAGGAGGCAAGCATGGACCCCCAACAAGAGGAGGCGAGCATGGGGCCCCCAAAAAATCCAGTGTGGCCGAGGGGGCGAGCATGGGGCCCCCGAACAATCCAGTGTGGCCGAGGAGGCGAGCATGGGGGCCCCCGACAAGAGGAGGCGAGCATGGGGGCCCCCGACAAGAGGAGGCGAGCATGGGGCCCCCCGACAAGAGCACACGGCCATAAGCAAGTGACAGAAAATTGGAAGGGCTCTAGACCAATAGATAGGGCCCTTGGAAATATCACGAGTGTGTCGATACATTAACCGAGACCAATGTGGAACGCCCCTGAACAACCGACAATACCCCGTCAAATTGATATATCATGCTTCCGGTTGCGGCGTATGAACAGAGTCTTTCGGGCGAATGAGAAGAATCCGTAGGAGACCCCTGATTGACAAAAGTGTCCCGGCACGCTAGCAGCAAGGACCCAGCTACGGCGCAGGGCCCTGCGAGTAAATGCAAAGAGCAAAATCAAGGACAACGTGGGAGGCTCCTTTGCGATAGTGTTGACTCCGCAAGTGAAGCTATAGGTCCCCGGAAACGGCATAGGGCCTCTGGAGCGCGTAATAAGCGTGAAAATATCCCAATCACTACCCTCCCAATCCGAGAAGGATTAGTTTCGCATATTTCTGGACCCTTCACTTGCGCTTGCTATTGTTCTTGGCCGTCTGAAAACAAAAGACGTCCAATTTGGTTGTTATGTTTGTTAAAAACCGCATCTGTTCGGCCGGGTATGGGCCGGCCGAACATACATATATTTCGGAGCCTATGGGCCCCACGGGTCCCAGGGGAGAGGTCATGGCCCCGTGTCGTCCTTCTGGATCCGCCCCTATGCAGCCTCTGGTTATTATTACTGTAATGATCGCGAACTTGAACCTTATGCTCGCACTAAATGTAATTCAGTTCTTTTTGTCGATTCACATAAATGCAACTAGAGACGTGGGCGGTTGGTACATAGTTGCATAAAATGACATGCAAGACAGCCATTGATCTGGAGTTTGCGCTGTTCGTGGACACTGTCTTTCAAAGTAATGGTTTCTCATGACACTAACTTCAAGGTCAAATCGAGTGCATGAACGATCGGCGTCAAGCGACATCTGGGGAAAAGGAACGAGCGGATTCCCGACGGGTCATACTTTTGTGTTCCTTGTAGCATTGTAACTTTATTGGAAGGGTCTCGGGTAGCCGAAAGTTTGCGTGCAGTTGCTTTAGTTGGCCCTCGCTTAACGTCATTACGCACACCATTTATCTGCGTTGGATAATCGTGAGCGAAGTATTCTTACGCGACGGATTAATGCACCGGAAAAGGTGCTGACGGTACAGGCGATTACCTGTAAGCTATATCCTCTACCGATCCCAACTGGGTGTACACTTCGATGCTCAGACACTGCACATTTATGATAGCTGTGTGTACTCCGATCCGGCGAACCCAGCTACGTTTAAACAAGCCTTCAGAATGCACGACATTTCCAAAAAGCCGTACGGACGAGCGGTTAGAAGAACCTTTAACCTCAAATGACTAACTTCACTTATGCTTCGAACACACCCCACTTTACCAAAGAGTTTGAACGAAAAACTTTGCCGCAAAGCCATCCCAAGGAGGGCTGTCCTGGTTCGCAGAGCTCACGGAGGCTGTAAGGCAGTGGCCAGCTCTGGGATTGCAACAGCACAACTTTGAACAATGAGCGATCTTATCCAACAAACTGGTAGCTCAGAAATAGGACGACATGGCCAATACGTTTCATGGCTCACTCTGGCTATTTAAACACGATCAATTTCAAGAGTCCACCTGCGTCCGAGCCCGACTGCCACTAATGTCTCTGCACCGCAGTGGGTAGTGGCCGGTACAGCGGAACTCACGTTGAACTGGTGTCAAAAGACAGCTCGCACAATGGCTGCCGTTTCAACTTTGCCACCAGTCTTTCATGCAATAAGCGCGGTAACGGCTATGTGCGACTCTAAGCTTTGTCATTGCATTCCGAAACCACTTGATGATTATGCGGGTACTTGAGAGGCAGTGCGTTCGTGCAAAAATGGCTCAAATTCGTGACGGAGGCTGCCACCCCTGCGCTTCTGTTGTCTGTGCATGTGTTATTCCTAACTGCGTGAGTTCTCCGATCAGCTGAAACACCGCGCTTGGCTGGATGCCTTGCCTAACTCCGGCATACGCTGTCAGCCCCTGTAACGTGTCCAACTCTCCCCTCACCTTCTCACAGCGCCACAGCAATGCCGCAAACGTCATCCAATAGCTCTCTAGCGTTTATTGATGGCGTACATCGGAACCGCCCTACGGAGAACAACAGGCACGGTCCTGCCTCGTCACCTGCCCGTCACAGCGGTGTGCGGTCGGGGCGCGGGCTGCTGCAGTCCGTAGCGGGCACTGGGTCACAGGGGGCGCCGGCACCGCCGGGGCCGGTGACGTCACGGCTCGCCAGCTGTCTTCCAACACCCGGCCTCGCGGTCAGGAGCTGCGCGGGCCGCGTCCGAGCAGCTGTTCACGTGGCGCCTCCGGGCGGCCTCACCCGCAGCGGCCGACCCGACTCCGGTCTGGCCCGTACACAGGTGATCGGCAGCGTCACACGGCCGGCCACGGTCGGCTCGAGACACCCCGTCCGCGGCCGGTTAGCGTTAGAGCACTCGGAAAGCGGACACACGTTACACGCGACACGGCGGCGGCGGCCTAGGGCCCATCGGGAGCCGGCAACGCGTGGGGGCTAAATATCACCAGGGAGAGCGCGGGACATTCAGATGGAGTGTGTCAGAAGTTATCGTAGGAACTTTGTCACGGAATTTCTGGAGATGGACAGTTATCACGCGATGCGATTCGCCGCTGCGACCGGCAGCGACTCACTGACAGCAGTGGGCATCGAACATACGCACTAGCACACTAAAAAGCGGCATTAAGGACGACCAAGCACTTCCGAACGTAACAAGACTTAATCCTATAAAATCAGGACGCCGTCAAACCTTTGGCGCCACGTCCGCGTCATGCGTCCTTATGTAACTCACAAACACATGCTGGGCACCAACGCGAAGCCGTCATGTGGTAAAATGCGGGACAAATCCTCTGAGCTGCCACGTCAACAAGAACTCGCGCAGATAAATGCAGTTATCTGGAATCCTTCTTTTGATTTCCTCGCATTCCCCGTCTTTGGCACAGGGCGGGCAGCGGCGCGCAGTGACGTCATGAGTTCTCGGCGGCGGCGGCGGCGGCGGCGCCGGGCGCGCTCAGCCTTGGGACATGACGAGCGGGTCCATGGAGGCGAGCAGGTGGGGGCGCGGCACCAGCTCCGGGTGCTGGATCTGCTCGCGCACCTGCAGTAATGTGCGGCGCACCTCGCGGTTGTTGGGCGCCAGCCGCAGGGCCTCGCTGAGGTCCGCCAGCGCCGCGTCCAGCTCCCTGCGCGCCGGAGGACGGGCGTCAGCGGTCCGCCGCGCTGCACAGGCGCAGGGCCCGGGCTCGATTCGCGACGCGTCGTGGGGGATCCGTGGCTGGAGAGCCGCAGATGCGGGTTTTGCCTGGGCTGCTCAGCGCCACGCGAAGACCTGTGGCGTCTATCCGGTGTTAAACATACGTCGTGAACAAACCTTATTACTTGCCACCTGACGCCTGTTGGAAACGACATAAAGCCTCTTTCGCAGGATACGAAATCTAGGCCAAATGGACTACCATTCATTTTTGAGTGAGACAGGCATTTTGCACGACTAGAATCCCCACACTGCAGACGCGATACAAAGTGTAAAATGAACTCCTTCATCGACTCGTTCGTGCGGCGAAGACTCACTTCTGCGAGTGCTTGGCTTTCGCCCGGAAGAAGTAGGGCTCAAACGCCTCCGGTCGCACGTTCATGGCCAGGGTAGCAAGCTCGGCGGACTTGGCGTGCTCCTGCGGATGGTCAGGCGACCAACATCAGCTCCATGCGGTGCACAGGTGCCGGCAACACCGGTCTCCACGGCACATGTGCAGTCATGTGTGCAGCCCGGACCACACGTGTGTGCCCCGCGACGCTGTGCTCCGGTCATTCGTCGTAAATCCACTATGGAGGTTGCCAAACGGTCACTTAGGACGATGGCGCAATTCGTTGCGCGAAACGTGTTAACTAAATTGTATGCAAACCTTACTTCTACAAGCCTTACTTCTTCTGAAACTGACAACACGTCAACGCAGTTTATGTTTGGCTTCTTTGGGGAAACCGACACCAGTGTCGTTATCCCTCATCCCGGAACAAACACAAGGAGAAGCTGGCCGGCGAGAGCCGTGGGCCGCCGTGCGGAACAAACACGGGCGCCATCGACCAGCGCGCACTTACGCCGAGTTTCCGCTTGCAGCGCGACAGGTTCAGTAGCAGATTGACGTGCAGCCGGCGGAACAGCTCCTCGTGTTCACGCAGCTTGCCTTCGGGGAACTTCTTCAGCGCGTAGGTAAAGCGATGGTCTGCCTCCTGCATGCGGCACTTCTTGTACAGCGTCATGCCGTCATCGTTCAGCTTGTTCAACAAGGTGAACCTGGTGACGGCGGTGCATTCAATCACGCTGAAGGCGACAGCGGCATGACTGACGGTGCCCTGCGTGAGCTCACTAAAAGGATATCGACGAAGCCATCTGGCACGCGCACGGCATTCTGGTACCAAGTGATCCTTGGTTTCCGCCGCGGGGACATTAAAGTGTTCTGGAGAGTAACATGGTGCATGCACGTGATCTTCAATTCAGTAGCCTCGGGTTCTGATGCAAGCGTTTCCTAGCACACATATTGGACCTATTGGAGCATCGAGCACACTTATTGGAGCATCGAGCTGTCCGAGTAGTACACCGGCAACGAGCAGAACAAATAACGCAACACGAAAACCGAGTCCGACAAAAGCCAAATCACAAATAACCCAGAAATCAACGAAGCGTAGCATGCCTGATGCATTTATATATATATATATATATATATATATATATATATATATATATATATGCATCTATATGTGAACATACAAATTACTTACCGGACAGATAATATTAAGCATTAAGCTCCCACTGAGTCCAACATTCCGCTCAAAACGCACGCAGTTCATACCCTGACGACGTTCAATCTCCTCCCCCGCTGGCACTGCGGCGTCTGCGGACATCCCCGCAGTCTCATCGCTCTCAGCGCCGGGGCGGCACCACACTCACATGATGTCCAGCTTGCCGTCGGCCATGGCCCAGGTGGTAGCGCCCAGCTTGGCGCCCTTCCTCAGGAAACACTGCACCACCTGCACGTGACCGCAGCCGATGGCGCGGTCCAGCGGCCGCATGCCCTTCAGGTCCACGTGCTCCACTACCGCGCCGCGGTCCAGCAGCAGCTGCGGACGTGGCCATACAGTCACTCCGCAGACACGACACCTGCCACTCGCACGCCGTAAAATGGTGTGACGTCAGACGATAAACATAGTGTTTTCCATACGCGAGCCATGTGATGGTGTGACGTCACTTGACGTCCGTGCGACGCAGCGCGACGCACGAGGTTTCGGTCCGACAGTCGCGACTATGTACATCACTGGACGTTGCTGTGATGTCGCACAGCGCATTGTTAGCTACCGATTGGCAAGCCGTGTAACTGTGTGACATCACTGGACCCTGCGCCCAGCTACTGAGCACTCCCGTGACTCCTGGCCGGTGCGGTTACGGCTAGCTATGCGTGATCGTTAGTGCGTGACCCGGGGTCGAAGCGGGCCCGGGCGGGGACGCTGACGTCCCCGTGTCGTGACGGGCGCGGACCTCGGCCCGCCGTGGCCAACGGCCGTGATGGACCGGAGCCCGCCCAATATCGACCGCAGCCGGCCGAAACGGCCGCAACGCGCGCCGGCCATTTCAACGCCGGAAATGGCCGGCTGGCGTGCGGCGAAAGAGGAAACAGAACGATGGTGGGCATGTCCAAAATGGCCCACGCTCAGGAAACCAACCGCGTCCATAGATCTAAGAGTTGTGTGTGGATCTCGGCACGCTGAACGAAAGTGGAATGGTTCTAAAATTGAATTAAGTTGAAATGACTTCTAGACTAAATAGGGCAATATTAATAGCTCCATCCCTCGCAGAAAAATAGGAGAATAGAGAGGTCCACCATAAAGCCTCAAAGATCCGTCATGTGTGCGTACGGTGGTGCTAAGAAAAAATCGTCTCCTTTAGAGAAAACGCTCAACCAACTTGCTAGGTTTGCTCCAACTCATCTGTGGGACACCAGAGACTATCCTAAAAAAGGCTTCCGACCATCTACATTCAGAAGGGTTACCAGAGGGCAGCATTTTCTCCAGTATAGATATGTTGTCAATTGATGTGGCAATGTTCCAATCAATGAGACTTTCGCTGCGGTGAAAGCTAAGGTTGACGAACAATTCCATGAAATTGATGCTTCCAGTCTATTGAAAGAGGATATCTGTAGTCTTTCAGAACACTTTCTCCAGGACAATGTTTTCTCGTTCGGAGATGACTACTATCGACAGATATTGGGCATAGCCATGGGGAAACCCCTGCGCTTCTCTGGCGATAATGCTTTTAGACCAATTTGAAACGAAGGCCCTGCCCGCCAGCCCATTAAAACCAACTTTCTTAACTAGATACATCGATCAGTATGCTGGAGTATGGACGCACGAAGAGCGTGCCCTTGGATAACTTTTTAAAGTTCATGAACAACCAGCATCTAAACTTAGCCTTTACGATGGGACGTACAAGAAACAGAAAGGAAGTCCAATTTTTTAAATACTCATGGTGGTAGATAGCAGGAACAACCGAACAACGTTAAGAACGAAGCTCTTTATCAAGCCCACCAACCCCGGTATGATTCTCGCCATGAATCTGCACATCTAGCTTTTACTAAGCATAACATGATTCGTAACATACTTCATATGGCTCTAAACAATTCACCCAGGAGTGAAAAAGAAAGCAAGATGGACAGCCAGATATGGAATTTGCCTTTAGCGATGGATATCTGCGGTACTTTAGGTAGATTGTTGGAACAAGTAACACAAGTCTAGAGCGCGTAGGGGGATAGGTGGTGGGAGGCGGGGGACGCATCGCTCGAACGATAGATTGTTAATACTACCTTACACGGATGATCTATGCACGTCTTGGTTTCAAGTGGCTTGCACCTGAAAGTGTGCGTGCGTGCGTGCGTGCGTGCGTGCGTGCGTGCGTGCGTGCGTGCGTGCGTGTGCGTGCGTGCTGGTGTGTGTGTGCTGTGCTGCTGCGTGCGTTGTGCGTGGCGTGTCGTGCTGTGTGTGTGTGTGTGTGTGTGTGTGTGTGTGTGTGTGTGTGTGTGTGTGTGTGTGTGTGTGTGTGTGTGTGTGCGTGTGTGTGTCATTGGGGCTTTACGACGCACTCAGCTGCTGAGGCTATATGGCATCGCCTGCTTCTCACCCTGGCAGGAAGGGCGGGAACCGCGGGGAATCGAACCCCGTACCTCTGGTTTCCCAGACGCGCAGTGGTTAGATATCATTTGACTGGTTTTCCTACGAGGAAGAAGGCTATTTCTACTGTAGATGCATAATGTTCCTCCCAAATCCACTTAAAACTTACGTGGCCTCTAGACTACCGCAAAGCTTAAGTTGTTGCTTCTACATGCGAGGCTTTCAACGCCAGTCTTTCTAGCATTTCCGTTATTTGTCTCCCTTTACCTAAATAATGACAGTAATATATGTGCTGAAATAACGATATAATCAGAACACAAACAATATACATGAATACAATACAAACATACGAATAAATGCCAGACATACCTGTAATTGTACTTCCATGTCTGCATGTTTCCAAGCCTGGACATAAAACAGGGAAAGTTTACGGCATAGAACAAGAAAGGGTGACGGACAAATAACAGAAACGAATGCTGGAAACGGGGGGCTAAAGCCGTTTCGCCTTCACCCTAGCTCGGTCTCTGGCGGCACACCACACCAGCGTGTCTCTGTCGGACCGTTCACTCCAGCTCGGTCTCTGGCGGCACACCACACCTGCGTGTCTCTGCCGGACCGTGCCCGCCCCATCACCTACCGACACGACGTCTGCGTCGCCGTAGAAGGCAGCCAGGTCGAGCGGCGTGCGCCCGGCGCTGTCCGTGTGCTGCAGGTCGGCGCCGGCGTCCAGCAGGGTACGCACCACGCGCGCCTGTCCCTTCAGGCACGCCCAGGAGAGCGCCGCCAGGCCTTCGCGGTCCACCCGGCCCAGCGAGGCACCTGCGCAGCGAGGCGTCTGGTCAGCCAGCAGCGCCGGCGCAGCTCACACGTCCACCTCTGACGCCCAGGTGGCGAGATGGTGGGCCGACGCCGCCGACAGATTCGCGCGACGACGTGAATGCAGTGCAGTGTAGCAGTTCCGTTACCGATCAATATGCCTGCCTTTCTACGATGTAACCTGATCGCTTAAACGCGTTTTTCAGCAGCCTTGTTGTGAGACATACAAATCAGAGCAGCTGCAGAGATTTCCATGCTTTTTGAACACGGTAAAACATACTGGAACATTCACATTACCCGCGGACAGTGTCACACACCTTTGCTGATCAGCAGGTCGAGCACGCCCATATGCCCCTCGCTAGCCGCCACGATGAGCGGCGTGCGGCCGGCGTCGTCCGGCTGCTCCAGCTGCGCCCCCTGGCCCAGCAGCACCACGCAGATGTCCCAGTGGCCCTCCCGCACGGCGCCCAGCAGCGGCGGAGCCCCCTTCGAGTTGGCGGCGGCGACGGTGGCGCCGCGGCGCAGCAGCATCTCAACCAGCGGCTTGTGGCCGGCAGCGGCCGCCATCGTCAGCGGCGTCTCGCCGTGCAGGATGTCGCACGCGTTCACTGCCACCTGGTGAACGCAAAACAGGGTTGAGGTTCAGAGAAAATCTGTCACGGATGAAGAAACAAGCAGCGAGAAAGCAACTGCAACTGACGAAATACAATAGCTGTGAATAAACGCCTTCAATAAGACATGCAAAGACACTGAGTCTGAGAAACACGATGAAATAAATAAGTTATCGCGTTCTACGGACCTCCTCCATGTCGAGCAGGTACTCGGCGATCTGCAGATGGCCGTTGCCCGCGGCCGCCACCAGCGCCTGCTGCGCCGCCTCGGCCATGGTCAGCCGGTCGCCGGCGGCCGCCCAGTCACACCAGAGCAGGTACTCCACCACGCTGAGGTGGCCGTGCACGGCCGCATGCACGAGCGCGCAGCGGCGGCCGGCGTCGCGCAGGCCAACGCTGGCGCCGCACTGCAGCAGCGTCTGCACGGCGCAGGCGTGCCCGCCGGCGGCCGCCAGCATCAGCGGCGTGGCGCCGCGCGCGTTGGCCGCGTCTGGCGCCGCGCCGAACTTCAGCAGCAGCTGCAGCATCTCGTCGAATCCCTCGGCGGCACACAAGCCGAGAAGCGGCGTACCGTCCCGCTGCGGCGAGGACGCGTCCGGGGAGGCGCCGGCCAGCAGCAGCAGGTTCGACACCTTGACGTTGGGGGCTGTGCGCGTTGCGGTCGGCGACAAGCGCGGCGGAGAGGTCGGCCGACGCCGCGGCCACCCAGAGCGCCTGCAGGTCGCGCGGTGGCACCGGCAGCTCGCGCGAGTTCTTGTAGAGGTGCGCCTTCAGCACGTGGTGGCCCAGCTCGAGCGTCTTCTGCGCGTCGAGCGGCGCCTCCAGCCGGCTCATGCGCAGCGCGATGTTGGCGTGGCCCACGCGCACGTCCAGCAGGAACTTGTGGCTCTCGTTGTCCTCACGACGCGTCAGCCACTCACGGAACGACGGGTGAAAGAGCATGTACGTGTCGTCCATGCGGCGCGCCAGGAAGCCCGAGAGCGTCTTGAAGCGGCGCAGGAACTCGTCCCAGCCAAGGGCCGTCTGCGTGCAGCTGGCATTCACCGAGTGATAGATCTCGTAGGCGTTCATCGGACAGAGGCTGGCCAAGCAGCTTGTGAGGATGGGCTGCACCTGTTCGTAGGACCGCTGCGTCGGGAACTTGAGGTTGAAGTTAAGCAGGAAGATCTCGTTGAGGCTCACCGGCAGGACCTTGAAACTGGAGGACTTCATCACCAGGTGGCCGCGCTCGATCAGGTCAAGCGTCAGCTTGATGAAGAGAAAGGAACCGCGCGACAGCTCGGCCAGGTGGGCGATGAAGCGGGACTGGCTGCTGCCCTCCACCTTGGCGCCCGTCACCTGGATGCTGCTGGTGATGGAGGGCGAGTTGTTGATGCGGAAGGCGATGTAGTCGGCCAGGTCCTTCTGCAGCTCGTCTGTGTCGCGCAGTCGGTCCAGGTTCAGCTTGTGGAACGGCAGCAGGCTGGCGATGCCCTGCATCTGGGAGCGCACCGTCACTACCATCTTCAGCCACGACGGGAACATCATCAGGTGGCGCGCCAGGAAAGCTGCCAGGTTGTCGCCGTACTCTGCGGGCAAACAGGCCGAGTCAGAGTGCGCCACGGCGAGCCACGCCTCCCAGGTCACCGCTTGAAGGCCCGTACATGTATTGTGTGTCCGAGCTCTTAGCTGCCAAGGAACAAACGCCTGACTTCTGGCCAACTTCTGCGCATTAAATAAAGTGTACAAAAAGTCATCTGCTCGTAACTAGAGCCGTCCTCGCCAGTGCTTATTACTAAACTAAATATGAAATACAGCACGTGTTGTTAATTCAGCACTGGCGCATCCCGCCGACATAAGCACCGACCAAGAACAGTCGAGTCCCCGCTGCCTGCGCGCCCCGGCTCCAGACCCACCTGGCTTATGGTACTCGGCCTCTCCGAGGGCGTCCAGCACCACCAGACATGTCTCGCCCGTGAGCTGGCCGGTGCGGCGCAGCAGCTGCAGCGGCTCCAGCACGCCGCGCGACAGCGCCGCCGACGGGTCGCTGACGCACGAGCGCAGCGCCAGCGCCGCCTGCAGTGCCGGCGAGCGCTGCACGTGCTCCCGGTAGGCGGTCAGCTGCGGCGCCTGGCACAGCTGCGCCGCCACCGAGTGCACGAAATCGGGCACCAGACAGGTGGCGCTGTTGTCCGCCTGCGGGGAGAGGTGGAGTGAGGGACTGGCGGACAAGGCAGAAAGGGGCGGCTCTCTGTGCGGCTCCGTTCGCTCGCAACACACCAGCCGGTCGTGGAAGCACGATGGGAGCGTGCATATGTTTTACATCGATCAATTTTCAGGACGGATTCGATGCAACGCATACGCTCTGCGGGCCAGCACTGGTAATGTTGGAAAAACTTTCCAGCGGGTGAATGCTCCGGACCCATCTCAAGGACGGCTACTTTTGCTGTTGAACATCAAACTAATAATCCAAACGTTTAATACCACCGCACAGTAACGTGTGCCGAGGTCGAGACAACAATTAATATGCAAACCGCAAGTCACTGCTAACCTGACAGAAGTGGTATGCCACCACGCGGCTGCCGAGACCGCGCAGCTCCTCCGGCACCGCGCAGACGCTAGAGAAGAGACCGCCGCCGCCAACGACGGCTCGGGGCCGGCCGGGGCCGCCCGAGAATGCGTCTGTTGGACGGGCACGGTCCAGGTCAGTGCCGGAGGCGGCTCGACCTCGGAGCGCCGGGGTCGAGGGCTGGTGACACGGTCACACGGCATCGGTCGCTGGTATGTGTAACCTACCGGCTGACCTCAACGGCCAGGCGACCTCGGTGGAGGGAAACAAGAAGTAAAGAAGGATGCGATACGCTGAGAAATAAGCCAGGTGCATCGCCGGCGAGTTCGTGGCGTCGGACCGAGCCAAAGGCGTACAGCTTACAGCACGAGCCAAAGGCGTACAGCTTACGACCCGACAAGCTTGAGAAGCAGGCGGATAGAAGAAATGGGCTTATACTCAACGTCGAGGGAAAAGAACAATCCACCTTTGAAGCTGCAAATGCATGATCATTGCTTATCTCGCCGAAAATGGTCCTACAAAGGCAGTGCAACTGGCACTGGAAAATAGCACGTAGAAGCATAAGACGGTTCAACTGTAAGAGCCCAGTCATCACGTTCTGCGAATCAAATCAAGCATCCATTGATATTTGTGATTAAGACAAATGAGACAACAACAACGTGCTATGAGCTGGTTTTATCAGGGATTAAGCGCGGACCTCGCTCCGATGTCATTTGGCCAGTGCAGCACTTCATGCTTGCTCGTGCTCGTTGCACAACGGCTGCATTATTACCTACTGCTTGAGGCATAAGAGCTGTTTTGTTTTTTCACTATGGCTAAGCTTCCGAAAGGTTAGGCAATTCATCACAGTGGCATTACCACCGCTAAACGTGAGCGAAGGAAACTTAGATCACGAATGGTATGCACCGCACCAATCAGCTTGGCACGACTCGGCACCATAAAATCAAAGCCGTCCTGGTAGGGAGCTCCCAGCCAAATTCTGCTAGGCCTCGCCTTGACAGCAGTCATCGTAACACGTTCATTCTCAGTTTCACCTCAACAGTAAACTGCCTACGAGTACGTCAGGTGCCTTGCACTTTCGAGAGATCATGCTCGCTACAGGGCCTCTTCATACACTCGCCTCATTTTTTTTCGGATGCTCTCTTAAGTCATCGCGTCCATCACGTTTTTCAACCTAAAAGTTTAACGGATCAGCTTTGTACCGGGTTCTGGACCGCCGTCTGCCTCGTCTGCCTCTGTGCAAAACCACCTCCGAAGGCGTCACTCACCCTGGTAGAGGGCGTCCTCCCGAGCGGCGCGGCGGCCGAAGCAGCTGTAGTCGACCAGCTGGAGGAGGGCGGCCGTCTTGCCGGTGCCGACGCTGCCGGCGAGAACGCAGCCGCGGCTGGGCGAGCCGAGCAGCACCCGACTCAGTTCGGCGAACAGCCAGCGACGGCCTACGAACAGCGGGTCCTGCTCCTGCTGCGGCACCTCGAAGAACAGCGGCTTCAGACTGAGAGGCGCCGGCCGGAACGGCGAGACGCGCGCTGCGGGGGAGGGTCGCGTCAGGGGAGGCGTGGGAGGAACGACGAGAGGCGGGCTGCGGGGGGAAGGTCGCGTCAGAGGAGGCGGGGGTGGGATGATGAGAAGCGCTCTGCCGAAAGAAGGTCGTATCAAAGAGGGGGGGGGGGGGGAGGCAGGGAAGGACGGCGAGGGGCAAACTGCGGAGGAGGGAGGGACCACGTCAGAGGAAGCCGAGTAGGGCACTGATCGGTTGATTTCTGCACGCCACTGGGTACGGCGGAGATCCCGCCTTAACGGAGTAAGCTCAATGTAATGTAATGCAAGGACACACAAAAGGGATACGATAAGGGTGGACCACAGAGAGGACGACGGCGTGTGAGCCACATTAAAGGGGACAGGAGGATGACTGTCGCACGACAGATATAGGGCGGATGAAGGCCATGGGGAGGTAGAGGAAAATTAAAGGAGTACCGGAACGAAGGAACGGATGAAAAGTGGTGAAAGGAAAGGGCTAAGGGTTTTTACAGACATCCGGGATAATGGCTTGAATGTGGAAGAGGCTCGTTTTGGGCACGGCATATGATGGACCAGACAGCTCACTGGATGATGAGGTGGAAAAATGCAGTCTTCCAGACTCGCGGCGGATTATAAGAGTGCAGACACGCTACCGCCTTACTCAGTGGGCGTCTCGGGGGCCGTACTGTGCCCAGCTTCCGTGTACTACGGCCCTACCTATTTCTTGCAGCACTCCTCAGGCGGGATTTAATGTAATCGGTTTATGTATGCATAGCACATCATGACGTCCGCACCTTTTTAGACATTTATTATTTCTTTGGTTGTGCCTGCTAGGCTATATGGTCGTATGGTCCAATAACTGAGTGCGTTACATCAGTACATGTGCGGCTAGTATTATCTTTGTTACCCCCACCACAAAAGCTAATCTGTATTCTCCTTCCGTCACCAACCACAACCACGCACATCCCCGAGACAGTTCCGCTCCGTCCCTCCATCTATCCACACGCCGAGCACAGCGGTGCGCTGTACTCAGCCACACCCAGCGGCTCACTGACACCGCCAGACGGGGGATGGCCGCACCTTTGGCTTCGGCGGGCGGCGTGACCCGAAGACAGCGGGCCGACCTCCTGCCCGGCTGGCCGCGAGGACTGCGGAACGCGCCCGGCTCGTCGACAGCTCCGTGGCCACCTGGCGCCGCGGAACAGCAGGCTACAGAGCAGGCCAACAGAGTGCGGCGCAGCGGGCGGCGGCGGCGCACCACGCCGCCGAGCGTGCAAAACCGGACACACGTCCGTGGACCACGGCAATTGCGACGTGCATGGCAGGCGACACACGGCAACGGCAGCACACTGGGCGGCCTCCCGCACCAGACCACGTCAAAACCGCGCCACCCTGCGGGCTGCCGCCGGGTCGCCGCGGCCGTGCATGTAAGCGGCGCCGGCAGCCGGCCGGCCGGCGCCGCCGGCGAGGCGCGTCCACCCGTGGCGGCGTGGCCGTAGCTCACGTGCACCGCTGATTGAGCGGACGGACGCCGATCACAGACGCGATACCGGCCGGCCGTAAATAAATAGGCCGCACCCGTTCTACGCCCGGCTCAAGCAACGGCCGCTCCGCCGGCGGGTCGACCGGCAGCGTCCGAGGCGGTGCTCGCGGACGGTGGCGACCAGGTCAGGGCGCATGCGCAGCGCAGGGCAGGACACTCGCTCACCGATCGAGTTGCGCCGAGCTGTGATGAGCGGGCTGGCAGAGGTGGTGGAGCCACTCAGCGACATGGACATCAGCGAGCCGAAGCTGTCGTGTCTCCGCTCCGAGCGCAGGTGCGCCAGCTCAGACTCACTCGAACCTGCAAGCAGCACCACGCGTTGAGGCACATGGCCGACAACGTAACACACATATTTGTAGCGTGGTGAAGTGACCTCGTGACACAGGAAACCCTACGCTCCTCCAGGCCAGCAAGGATGGCGAGCGTTTCGTGCCCAGCAGATTTGGCGACTCAGTATCAATTACCGGCCGGTTGGCCGACAGCGGCGAATTGAAACAAAGTGTCTGTATTACTTTATTGCGATTTCAGTGCAGACGGTACCAGCGAGTCGGTCTTGCACGCTGTTCCCCAGCGAGCCCAGGCCAGCCGTCTATCACATGTCACTTGTCTGAAGAGTAGTCTCCGCACTGCTTCGAGGTTTTCCCATCGGCACAGCGATCTAGCAGGATGCGTCACGACAGTGTCGGGCCCATTCATATCCCCGGTCCTTTTAATCTGTCCGTACTCCTACATCCCCTCACCTGCCGATCTTGTTTTGCCTTCCTCACCCTCGGTTTAACCACATCCTGCCCACCCAACCATCTCGTCCTGTGCTTCCCGCCGGCAGGCACCCCTCTGACCCCGTGCCTGGTCGCCTCACCGGTGAGTGTCGAGACGGGGCTGGTGTTGGCCGACTTGGCGTCGAGGTGCGCCAGTGAAGCGTGCGAGTCGCGGCCCGAGCTGGCGCCCGAGCGACTGGAGCGCGAGCGCTCCGAGCCCGGGGAGCGCGGTTCGGCGCCCGAACCGAGCAGCAGACCCAGCCGCGCGTACAGCGCGCTATCCTCCGGCCGGCCGCCCTCCTCGTCCGTGTCTGAGGGACGGGGGCCGGTCAGCGGCGGCGGCGGCACGTGTCGTCAGCCGCACCTGAGATAGACGGGGTCGAACGCCGCAGGGAACAGCGCCGGTACTGGCCTAGCAGGTTCGCAGATCGGCAGCTTTACTCTTCGCCCCGTCCCCCACCATATTACTATGCAAGATGGCGTGCGATGCAGAGAGCTATGCAAAGTGGGATGCAGGAAGACACATGAGATCATTTGTTCAAGCCTTCAACTGATATCAAGTGAATTTAGAAAGCTCAGGTTCTGTTCTGACGAATAAATCTCGAATGCAATAGAGATGAGAAATGTATCAGTGACATGGTAAATGGAGACAGCAACTTATTCTACTAGAGCATTTCAATATGAGAACAGACGGCAGAAATCAACTGCATGCCACACAAATTTGCAGCGTCAATCAAGTGTGGATTGTTAGAGTTCCAACGCGACGAACGGGAGCAGCCCTAATGCGTCTACTGCGTGGGAATGAGGAGGTCTTAGATGGCGATGAGGGTTTCGAGGCTCACTGAAACTTCGGTTTAGGGTACAGTAGAGGATTTGGACATCACCGGTAGCTCAAAACATGAAACTTGTGGTGTGGCTGTCAAAAACAAGGAGATGTACTCATCAATGCAACAACCGCCACAGCCATCCATTAATTCAACACCCAGACACAGCACCCCCTTCCATGACCCACCACTGCCCCTACCCACCACGTGACCCGGTGTAAGGTCTGCCAACAGGTGGGTTCAGCGTGCCAAGACGGCGTGGCGCGCACCACCACCTCATCCCGCCGAACACGCCGTCCGCGGCGCTCTTCCGGCGCGCGGACGGTGGCCGCCCGCGCCCCCTCCGCTCATGGCGCACGGCCGCGGACCAGGGTGAGCGCCGGCGGCAGGGGGACCAGCCGGTGATACGATCGGCGGGCGCCGGCCGGTGCGGCGCGCCGTGGCCCCGATACCATCGGCGCGCCCGAATACGGCCGGCCGCCTGTCCCGGGGCATCGACAACAGGCCGTGCATCATGCAAACTGGGGCCGACCGGCGGGCCCCGCGCCGCCCATGACGTCACAGGCCGTCTCGGTACCGGCTCGGGACGGTCCCCGGTCCCCGCTCCCCGACGACCGAGCCGGGCAGCTGCGCAGGTCAGCCGGCCCCAGACCGCGGCCGTAGGCCAGCCCAGCGACGTTCGGACCGCGCCGCCCGCGCCATTGGGCCGGGGGCAGGGGGCACGCGTCGGCGGTGTTCGCGGTGTGATCGCGTCGCGCGGGAGGGGGCGTGAGGAGCGCGACACCGGAGCTCTGCCACCGCTCACCAGCCGAATTTGGCCATCAGCGCCGGCTTTATACGGCTGGCTGCCGGCTTTACAGCGGGCCCACCTCCGACAGATTGGCGGCATAACGGGCGCCGGTGGCGGCTAAACTTGGCCTGCCGAGCCACTTGCGGCCGGGCCGCGCCCGAGCAAGAGCTCTCAGGAAGCTTCGGAACGCGGCCCGGCCGGAGAACGTCCGCTACCGGGGATGGCGTCTCGCAGCGGCAGGGGCAGGGCGACAGACGGTCGATGGGGAGCGACTTCGTGCTGTGCCAGCACCCAGCGCAGGCAGCCGGCGATACGCCAGCGACCAGACTCTGGTGATCACCGGAGTCCGCGAATCACCGGAGTCCGCCAAATCACCTGCCGGTCGGCGGCGCTCGGCCGCCGCCCACGGCCACACTCGATCCGCGCCGCAGCAGCATCCGCAGCGCGGCAACGCCCTCGCATCTGCTCCCACACCCGGCACAAGGTCTGCATCCATCGGGAGGCGCGAGGGCTGCCAGCAGGAGTGCCAGGCTCAGACAGCGCCGCCAGCGACATGCCGTCACGTGACGTGACGAGCACTCTAGTCGCGTGACGCTCCGCGGCTCCGGCCCGCTGTTGCCGCGCGGACCCACGGCAGGCCTGCCGGTGGGGTGGGGGGGAGTGTGGGGGGGGGGGGGGGGGGTGGGGGCGCTGCACAGTACACAGGCACGCCCCGGTCGGCGGCGGGGCGGCGAGGCACTCATGGAGCGCCAGGGACTCAAGGCTGGAGCGACTCGGGGCGTGTCAACTGGACATGGACGCGGCAGACGGCAAGGCCGGCGGCAAGCTGAACGGGGGGGCTGCCAGTCGCGTAGATGTGCCTTCCGAGCGGTCCCTTCCATCGCAATCATCTCCAATGTTTCTTTCTCTACATCCCTTTAACCGCCCGTTCGCTGCTTCCCGTGCGCGCCAGCCTCATCACGGGCTCGCTGCCTTTTAGCATTAAATATCGTTATGCACAAGCTCAAAAACAGGCACAGTCACGACTAAAAAATAAGAAGCATCACTCATGTGAGCGGGTTTGGACAGCACTGCCGAGGCTGGTGGGACATGGACACACACACACACACACTATGGACCTCAGCGAGCTGAGCCGAGTTATCATGTAGTCCCCGACCAGTTGCGTTTTTCCGGGCAGAGGGCTGCGCGAAAGAAATGACGAACCCCTCAGTCACTGCCACACTGAAGCACGGCTCAAATGCAAACGATGTGAAGTCAGCAACTAATTATGATAAGCTTCATCTGCCTTACTAGAAAGCAAGGGAGCGACTCCAAGTGAAATGAATTTAATTTGCCTAACTCTTCGAAAGAGTTGCCACGACTGATTATTGTGAAACAATACGTGACGGAGGCCCATCGGGTTGCTAGAATTTCAACGAGGAAGGGGCCAAATCGGATCATCAGGGGCTCTTGTATCAAACGGGCCGAGTCAGATCATCAGGGGCTCTTGTATCAAAGTGGCCGAATCGATCATCCAGGGCTCTTGTATCAAAGAGGGCCGAATCGGATCATCAGGGGCTCTTGTATCAAAGTGGCCGAATCGGATCATCAGGGGCTCTTGTATCAAACGGGCCGAATCGGATCATCACAGGGGCTCTTTGTGTCAAAGGGCCGAAATCGGATCATCAGGGGCTCTTGTATCAAACGGGCCGAATCGGTATCAGCAGGGGCTCTTGGATCAAAGTGGCCGAATCGCATTATCAGGGGCTCAGGCATGTATCGAAGGGAGCCTCTTCGTCGCTATAGAGCCCCTCTATATTCAGGCGGATCTTTGCAGGCTCAGTATCCTATATTGTTGCCTCGGGACCGCCTGTGGATATTTAGATGCCCTAATGAGGTCTTAAACCGCCAAAACGTGCTGGAACCTTCGTTGTCTTCTTCTCCTCCTGTTTGTCACATCCTGGGGGCGGCATGCTTCTTAAGCTCGCCTTGGCTACGCCACTGCCATGGGCGACCCTTTCTGATGCGGTGCGGTGAACGTGCATCGTACCATGTTGCATCACAGACTGGAAGTCCGCGCTGCTAACTGTGGGGAGCGTAGGGGCCGGGACATGGCAGCCGTAGGTATTCTTAACACGAAGCGTAGATCATAAGGGGGATAGAGCACCGAGCAGTTCGTGCGCCTCATAAACACAACTTATAAACCATACGCAAGTGTTCCCATCGGACATCGAAGAATTACTTCGATGTCCGTTTCGATGGATTTCACACCTTTGGTTCCCTGAATCCATCAGACATTGGTTCTCGCTATACCTGTCGTGTCGCATTACCTGAGAGTGCCTGTTGACTGTCCACGCCGATCGTATTGGAGCGGTGTTACGGTTTTGGCGCGCCGCCAGCCGGAGAAGCTTGGGACTGGCAACCACCCCACGGCGGCTGGATGGCGGCGTGTTGTACACTGCGAACCAGGTCAGCCCAAGCCAGGTCACTTCAGTCAGATCAGATCAGACCGGGTCAGTCAGCTTAAACACCAGCCAGCTTCAAACGTGGCTCGGCTGCTGCCTGCATGCTGAGAACAATTAAGGTGATGCGCAAAACAAGCACGCGGCAGCCACCAACATGTCCCCTGGGGCCCGGGCGACACGGCGCCGACACGTGAAACATGGCGGAGCAAAACACACCCCGCAAAGCGAACGCTCGGGCCCACCACGACGCGGCGGGGCCGGCGTATTCCGGAGCAGCGCGGCCATCAGCCGCCTTCAGCAGGTCACGCATCATGACTGGCCCGCACCTCTGAGCAGTGATCATCCCCCCCACGAAGCAGCGACGCCTTCTCCTACAAGGCACCCGCCCCCGCAGGCGCTAACCACAGCTCCAGCCGCAGTTCCCCGACAGGTTGTGGAGTAGAGCGCGGGGCGGCGGCGGTCGGCCTGGACGCCCGACTCCGGCCCACCGCCGGCAGACCGGGCTCCGGCCCGCGCGCGCTGCAGCGTCCGGTCGCCGCCGCCACACCGCACACGACCACGCATCGACTGCCGGCCTGCCGGCTGAGCTTCCAGGTGCCGGGCAGAGGCCCGAACGGCAGGTTGCGCCAAGGACACGCCGCCCGAACGGCAGGGCTGCGCCTCGGACACGGCCGCCCGAACGCAGGGCTGCGCCTCGGACACGGCCGTCCCGGCGGCAGGGTTGCGCCAAGGACACGGCCGTCCGGACGGCAGGGTTGCGCCTCGGACACGGCCGCCTGAACAGCAGGGTTGCGCCAAGGACTGACCCGTCCGGACGGCAGGGTTGCGCTCTCGACACGGCCGTCCCGGCGGCAGGGTTGCGCCAAGGACAACGGCCGTCCGGACGGCAGGGTTGCGCCTCGACGCGGCCGCCCGAACGGCAGGTTGCGCCAAGGACGGCCGTCCGGACGGCAGGGTTGCGCCTCGGACACGG